TTTATAGACGAGCTGAAGGGAGTCTTTATAGACGAGCTGAAGGGAGTCTTTATAGACGAGCTGAAGGGAGTCTTTATAGACGAGCTGAAGGGAGTCTTTATAGACGAGCTGAAGGGAGTCTTTATAGACGAGCTGAAGGGAGTCTTTATAGACGAGCTGAAGGGAGTCTTTATAGACGAGCTGAAGGGAGTCTTTATAGACGAGCTGAAGGGAGTCTTTATAGACGAGCTGAAGGGAGTCTTTATAGACGAGCTGAAGGGAGTCTTTATAGACGAGCTGAAGGGAGTCTTTATAGACGAGCTGAAGGGAGTCTTTATAGACGAGCTGAAGGGAGTCTTTTATAGACGAGTTAAAGGGAGTCTTTATAGACGAGTTAAAGGGAGTCTTTATAGACGAGTTAAAGGGAGTCTTTATAGACGAGCTGAAGGGGAGTCTTTATAGACGAGTTGAAGGGAGTCTTTATAGACGAATTGAAGGGAGTCTTTATAGACGAGTTGAAGGGAGTCTTTATAGACGAGCTGAAGAGGGTCTATATAGACGAGTTGAAGGGAGTCTTTATAGACGAGCTGAAGGGCGTCTTTATAGACGAGTTGAAGGGGGCCTTTATAGACGCGCTGGAGGGAGTCTTTTATAGACAAGCTGAAGAGAGTCTTTATAGACGAGTTGAAGGAAGTCTTTATAGACGAGCTGGAGGGAGTCTTTTATAGACGAGCTGAAGGCAGTCTTTATGATGAGTAAACGAGCTGAAGGCATTCGTTTTTATAGACGAGCTGAAGGGAGTCATTATATACAGGCTGAAGGGTGTCTTTGTAGACTGAAGGAGTATTTTTTAAAGTGGATTTTGGCTTAGTAAAAACGATCAGATTTTTTGAGGTAGGTATTTTTACCCTAATTAAGGGACGTACCCGGTTACCCGGTTGTTTGACCCGAAAGTTCGGGTACGGGTACCCGGTTATATCCAGTTCTACGGATCTGGTTAATGTAAAATGGATATCATTTAAAGGTTATAAAAATACCTTTCCATTGAGTGGTTATCTCAAACCGTTTTGGAGATACAGGCAACATGGTTTGAACCCCGATTTTATTGAAAAACTCCCTAAAAGTTGCACTTGGGTCCATTATAGTCCCTCTCCAATCTGACTTAAATTGTAGATCACAATTTGCTCTTTCCAAAATGGTGATATTTGTGGCAGTAAATGTTGTGGATCAAAAGACATGGGCCTTAGAACCCTACAAAAACAAGGAAATTCTGTCGCGTAGCCGATGTTGGTATCTGTCCATAGGAGAAAGTCTTAAATCCCCGTCCGAAGGCCTGCTACACTAAAAAATACTCTATTTAAAATGAGTTTCTGTCGCGTAGCCGATGTTGGTATCTGTCCATAGTATAAAGTCTTAAATTCCCTGCCGATGGCGGTCTACACTAAAAAATTCTATTTAACAAGAGATCTGTCGTGTAGTCGGTGTTGATATCTGTCGATAGGTGAAAGTCTTAAAATAAGGGCTGAAGGCCGTCCACCCAAAAAAAGAAACATGCTATTTAAGAGGAGATTCTGTCATGTAGAAAGATTTTCCTTGTTTTTATAGGGTTCTAATTTTTGATACAGAGTAGATGCAGCCACCATTTTGGAAAGGGCAAATTGTGGTATATTATTTGAGCTGAAGGTAGTACTTATAGATGTGATAAAGGGAGTCTTTATAGAAGGGCAGAAGGAGGATGAAGATAGTCTTCAGAGACGAGCTGAAGGGAGTCTTTATAGATGAGCTGAAGGGAGTCTTTATAGACGAGCTGAAAGAAGGCTTCATAGACGAGCTGAAGGGAGGCTTTATGGACGAGCTGAAGGGAGGATTTGAAAATGAGCTGAATAGATTCTTATAGACGAGATGAAGGGAGTCTTCAGAGGTGAGCTGAAGGATTCTTTATAGACGTGGAGTCTTTATAGAAGGGCAGAATGGAGGATTTGAAGATGAGCTGAATATATGAATATATGAAGATAGTCTTCAGAGACGAGCTGAAGGGATTCTTTATAGACGAGCTGGAGGGAGTTATTTATAGACGAGGTGAAGGGAGGATTTGAAAATGAGCTGAATAGATTCTTTTAGACGAGATGAAGATAGTCTTTATCGACGAGCTGAAGGGAGTCATTTGTAGACGAGGAGGCTTTATAGACGAGTTGAAGGGAGTCTTTATAGACGAGTTGAAGGGAGCCTTTATAGACGAGTTGAAGGGAGCTGAAGGAGTCTTTATAGGCGAGCTGAAGGGAGTCTTTATAGACGAGCTGAAGGGAGTCTTTATAGACGAGCTGAAGGGAGTCTTTATAGACGACCTGAAGGGAGTCATCATAGACGAGCTGAAGGGAGTCTTTATAGACGAGCTGAATGGAGTCTTTATAGACGAGCTGAAGGGCGTCTTTTATAGGCGAGTTGAAGGGAGTCTTTCATAGGCGAGTTGAAGGGAGTCTCTATAGAAGGGCAGAAGAGAGGATTTGAAGATGAGCTGAATAGATTCTTTTATACGAGATGAAGATAGTCTTCAGAGACGGGCTGAAGGGATTAGACGAGCTGAAGCTAGTTTTATAGACCAGTTAAAGGAGTCTTAATAGACGAGTTGAAGGAATCTTTATAGACGAGCTGAAGGGTGTATTTATAAACGAACAAAAGGGAGTCTTTTTAGACGAGCTGAAGGGTGTTTTTATAGAAGAGCTGAAGAGAGTCTTTATAGACGAGCTGAAGAAAGTCTTTATAGACGAGCTAAAGAGAGTCTTTATAGACGAGCTGAAGGGAGTCTTTTATAGACGAGTTGAAGGGAGTCTTTATAGACGAGCTGAAGGGAGTCTCTATAGACTATTTGAAGGGAGTCTTTTATAGACAAGCTGAAGGGAGTATTTTATAGGCGGGCTGAAGGGAGTCTTTTATAGATGAGCTGAAGCGAGTTTTATAGACCAGTTAAAGGAGTCTTAATAGACGAGTTGAAGGAATCTTTGTAGACGAGCTGAAGGGTGTATTTATAAACGAACAAAAGTGAGTCTTTTTAGACGAGCTGAAGGGAGTCTTTATAGACGAGCTGAAGGGAGTCTTTATAGACGAGCTGAAGGGAGTCTTTATAGACGAGCTGAAGGGAGTCTTTATAGACGAGCCGAAGGGAGTCTTTATAGACGAGCCGTCACGAGCCGAAGGGAGTCTTTATAGACGAGCCAAAGGGAGTCTTTATAGACGAGCCGAAGGGAGTCTTTATAGACGAGCCAAAGGGAGTCTTTATAGACGAGCCGAAGGGAGTCTTTATAGACGAGCCGAAGGGAGTCTTTATAGACGATCCGAAGGGAGTCTTTATAGACGAGCCGAAGGGAGTCTTTATACTCGCCTATAAATGAATTTTTATAGACGAGTTCAAGGGATATCTATAAACGAGCTTTAACGAGTCATTATAGAAGAGCTGAGGGTAGTCTTTTTTGACGAGCTCAAGGGATTATTAATACAGGAATTAAATGGAGTGTTTATAGATGAGCTAATGGTAGTCTTTATAGATGAGCTAATGGTAGTCTTTATAGATGAGCTAATGGTAGTCTTTATAGATGAGCTTTATAGACGAGCTAAATATAGTTTTTATAGAAAGACAGATGGGAGACTTTCAAGATGAGCTGAATGGACTTTTTAGACGAGATGAAGGTAATCTTTGTAGATGAGCTGAAGAGAGGCTTTGTAGACGAGCTGAGGGAGTCTTTATAGAAGAGCTGAAGGCATTCGTTTTTATAGACGAGCTGAAGGGAGTCATTATATACACCCTCAAGGGTGTCTTTGTAGACTGAAGGAGTATTTTTAAAGTGGATTTTGGCTTAGTTTAAAAACAATCAGATTTTTTTTTGAGGTAGGTTTTTTTACCCTAATTAAGGGACGTACTTTTTTTCGGTTACCCGGTTGTTTGACCCGAAAGTTCGGGTACGGGTACCCGGTTATATCCGGTTCTACGGATCTGGTTAATGTAAAATGGATATCATTTAAAGGTTATAAAAATACCTTTCCATTGAGTGGTTATTTGAAACCGTTTTGGAGATACAGGCAAAAAACATGGTTTTGAACCCCGATTTTATTGAAAAACTCCCTAAAAGTTGCACTTGGGTCCATTATAGTCCCTCTCCAATCTGACTTAAATTGTAGATCACAATTTGCTCTATCCAAAATGGTGATATTTGTGGCAGTAAATGTTGTGGATCAAAAGACATGGGCCTTAGAATCCTACAAAAACAAGGAAATTCTGTCGCGTAGCTGATGTTGGTATCTTTCCATAGGAGAAATTACACTAAAAAATACTCTATTTAAAATGAGTTTCAAGTTGGTATCTGTCCATAGTATAAAGTCTTAAATTCCCGGCCGATGGCCGTCTACACTAAAAAATTCTATTTAACAAGAGATCTGTCGTGTAGTCGGTGTTGATATCTGTCGATAGGTGAAAGTCTTAAAATCTGAAGGCCGTCCAAAAATCCATGCTATTTAATTGGAGATTCTGTCACGTAGAAAGATTTTCTAAGGTCCATATCTTTTGATCCACAATAGATGCAGCCACCATTTTGGAAAGGGCAAATTGTGGTATATTATTTGAGTCAGTATTGGAGAGGGACTTTAATGGCCCCAAGTTCGACTTTTAGGGAGTTTTTCAATAAAATCGACTATATCTCCAAAACTTTCAATGGAAAACGGTATTTTTATAACCTGTAAAATTATACCAATTTCATTTTAACCGGATATAACCGGTTACGTTCCGGGCCAAGAAAAAAAGATATCCCCATAATTAGGGTAAAAATAACTACCCCTGGAAAATTATTTCAGAAAAATATCATCGTTTTTACTAGACTTGAGTTGTTCCTACATTTTTAGTGACCAGTCGGAAGGTGTCCTTATCGACGAGCGGAGTGTTGAAGGGAGTATTTTATAGAATAGCCTCTTTTATGTTGACTACCAACCATGACCAGGTAATTGACAAACCAACAACTACAAAAAATTACAAAATGAAGTTAGATGACCACGCCTCGGATTTGTCCCAGGTAAGTTAAACAAATGATCCATTACAAATGCAACTGCCACGAAACCACCAACATTGCCAACAAAAACAGCAACAAAACAGAATGCAAATGAAGACTACAATAAAACAAAAACAACATAAAACATCCCTAACGAATGAACCTACGCTGAATAAGAAGTGTTAGAAAATTTACACACATACACGCACACACAAGAAATATTACAACAAAAATAACACATTGTAACGGAACGTTTCATAATACAACAAAAAATATTACAGACACAAACACACATTCATACAAACAATGCAGATATCATCGTCATAAATTTTCAACACGAAGCCGCAGAACAACAACAACAGCCTCTTGTTGGAATGATCAACAGCCTCAGAAACCGAAAAACAACATGAAGTCATTTCGGAAAAAAAACTGAAACTTCAACCCGAACAGTTGTTGAGAAAACGAAAAAATGGCAAACCAACAAACTGATGTGGCGGTACTGTACCCAGACATCGCTGCAGAAAGCCGTGAGAGCAGTAGGAAATGAAACAAAGCAACAACGACGACGAGTCGTGAACTCACCACCACCACCCGTCGCAAACATGTTCGCTCTGAGTCGTTGTACTGCATGAGACAGAAATACAACAACAGCAGCAACAACACAGTGAATGCTTAATGCTCCCCACTCTCTCTTTCCCAACCCCTACTCAAGCTCCAAACAACTACATCTAAAGGAGTAATGCAGCGCATGACAAATTCAATGGCGTGTTGTTGGTTTCTGTTGTGTAGCTTGGCTTTGCAACAAAACAAAGCAGAGATAACAACGTAAAGGAGGAAATCAGAAGGAGACGAAAAAACGGAAAACGAAATTTAAAATGAAGAAAACAAAAGCGAACGATACACGAGAGCTCACAAGATACACACAACGACGACAGGCGTTGGGCCTGTGCGTTGCTGGTATAGAGAAAATTTTGTAAATTAATATGGCGTCGTTCGTCGACATTTAACGAACGTTGCGCACAATAATTGAAATCGTCGTCTGGTCGGTCGTTCATAAATACAATGTTGTTTGTGCAGGCGAATGGTAACAATTATGTTTTTCTTTAGAAAACGAACAGTGCGGAGGTGTTGTTAACCACCAATTGTTTGTATGTGTGTGTCTATGTCGCCACACTGTTTTTTGTTGTTCTCCATATTTTACACATAACAATGTGAAATCTATAAATTTTAACAAAATGAATTCTTGTCAAGCTATCACCATTGTTGTTGTCCACTGCCAAGCTCAATGCATGGTGACGACTTCGTCGCAACAAGCATTTGTAAGAAATAAATACAAAACGTGAAACTCGTTTAGACCTATCAGTAAGAGATCAGAAGTCGAGGACGGATTATGATGTCTTGTTTTGCTTGCATTATAGGTCTTTGGCAATATTACTGATAACAAGTATAAAACGCCCAGCCGAACGTTTTATACCCTCCACCTCGTTGTGTGCGTTCAAAATTCCTTAAATTGGTCAAAATTTAAAAAACTCAATAAACGGGACATTTGTATGGAGATATTGTATTTATACACTCAGTAGAAAAAGTCTGCGTACAACCTTACCCATTACTCTATAATGCTCGAAAACCAATTTTCTACACAAAATTGTTACACAAAATTATAAGTATATGTATAGCGTTAAAATAGTTGTAGATCAGGCAACACTAATTAAATCGATAGTTTATTAAAAAATCCTAGTGATTCCCCGAATTGTAGTTACATGACTTGAACAAACGCATTTTCTTCGTTCGATGTTCAGAAGTAACTATTTTAAGAGGTTCTGACCGACGAATCCAATATCGCAAAATTACCTCTAAAGCAATGCTCAAAAAAGTGCTGCAAGATGAGTGGAATCAAATGTATTCGACAGAAACTTCTAAGCTTGCCTCTTCGATGCCAAAGCGTTTAGCAACTAAAATCTCCAAAAAATATTGACAATGGATAGAGATGAGCAGTGGGTAAATACCCAAAGGGTAAATACCTGGTAAATCAGGTAAATATCCATTTGTGGGTATTTACTATATTGAATCGGTGATCCAACATCTTACACCCTGGTTTCCTGGTTTCTATTATCAAATCGATTTAGAATGGATATTTTTACGATACTTTAAAGACGTGGGTAAATACCAGAGTATTTTGCATCCATGTTTTTAATGTCAAATATAGAAATCCAAAATGGAGTCCCTGGGTTCAAGTATTGATATAACCCCCATATAACCGTATCTCCCGATTTAAGTTATTTTTTATTTTACAACCAAATTGGCTGTAATTTGGCACAGAGAGTTCTCTTTGGGTACCCAATGTCCATGCAAAAATGTATATATGTAGGCCCACGTTTTCTGGTAGCCCCCATACTAAGGCACCCCTCATACATACCATTTGTATCAAAAACCACATCTCGAGAAAATATTTTGTGCAAAAGGAGATCTCACTACACCAAATTATAACCAATTTGATCGTAAAATGTGTCTAATAGACAAAAAATACCTTAAATCGGTTATATGGGGGCTATATCAAAACCTGGACCCAGGGTTACCATTGCTCACACCATTACTTGTACTGATATAAAAACCATCTGAGCCAAATTTTAGCCGCCTATGTCAAGTGGTTTGCCATTTAATGAGTTTACTAGCAAAGTGCCCGCTACTTCGTATGCGAATATAGCGAAAGATATATAGGGACTTTGGTACACCATTTACATTAAATCGGACGAAGTTATATATGGGAGCTATATCTAAATCGGAACCGATTTTCACGATGTTTAACACACATCCTTCTAGACGTAATTCAGCCCGCTGTGCCTAATTTCGTGTAAATCGAAGGTTATATAGGGAGTTTGGTGCACTATTTACCTAAAATCGGACTAAAATATATATGGGAACTATATCTAAATTTAAACAGATTTTTCCCAATTTCAATAGGGTTCGTCCTTAGGCCAAATATGTGACGTATGCCAAATTCCATCCAATTCGGATCATAAATGCGACCTGTACTTTGTTTACAATTTAACATGGACAGACAGACGGACATGCATAAATCGACATAGAATGTGATTCTATGCATATAATTTGATTCCGTTGCCGAAATCGAAATTTTGTGCATTTGCTATTCTATTTACTATTCGTACAAATCAATTCGAGTTTCCATAGTTATCTCTATAGCTAAATACTACACTTCAACAGTAATCTAAATTCCAAATCGCAGGATCCAACCAAATTCAAATGGTTCCAAATATAGTACCATCATACTTATAACTAAGAATTTCTAAAACTACATCAATATTACTCTCCAACTTACTTAGCTGGCTTGTTACAGATTTACAAGCGCGTCGGTCTTGTGCGCAAGTCCACCAATTTGGAAGACCACGTTCCAAGATGTTGTTTTCTACTTGGTCTTTCCATCTAATTCGTGGCCTTCCCCTTCTACGGGAACCATCAGTAGGCTCATTTTTATATGCCTTTTGAGCTGGGGCATTTGTTGGCCTAGCCACCGTAGTCGCTGCAGCTCAATACGACTGACTATGTCGATGTCCGCGTATAAATTATAAAGCTCGTGGTTCATTCGTCGCCGATATTCACCGTCGACGCAGATCGGCCCGTAGATCTTTCGGAGAATTTTTCTCTCAAACACCCCAAGAGCTGCCTCATCTGCTTGCGCAAGTACCCATGCTTCAGATCGACATAACAGCACGGGTAGTATCAGCGCCTTGTAAAGTGTGAGTTTGGTCTGGCGGGAGGTGGCCTTGTTTCTAAACTGCTTACTTAGACCAAAGTAGCATCTGTTGGCCATCACAATCCTTCTCCGAATTTCAAAACTGATGTCATTCGTTTTATTTATGGCGGTACCAAGGTATATAAAGTCTTTAACTACTTCGAAGCTGTAGTTCTCAAGTTCCACAGTTGGTCCGAGTCTCTCTCCAACAGTAATCTTAATTCCACCAAAGTCCAAATTTAGTACTTTTCGTACTCATAAGTACGAATTTCAAATATACCTCAATCCTTATTTCAAATAGTAGTCGTAAGTCAAAATTTAATAATTCCAGCTCTGTCTGTTCATCAAAAACCAAATTGTACCAGATTTGGTACCATTCTGTACTTTTCGTACCCATATCCAAACTTTATCAAATCTACACTCCCACGGTAACCTAAGTTGCAACTTTCGGGATTCGAATTCTACCCGTTAACCAATGTCCAAGTTGTACCAAATTTTGTGCTTTTCGTACCCATAAGTAGTCCACATTTAAGGATTCCATGTCTATCCGTTCACCACACTCTAACAGTAATTTTAATCATAAATTGCAGGATCCCTGCCCTATCCGTTCACATAAATCCAAATTTTAGCATATTTAGTACCATTTAGTAGTTTTCGTACTTTAAGTTTGAATTTTCACCACTGTCTCAATCCTGTACTGTAACAGTAATTTTATTTTCAAATATAAGTTTTTTATCTCAATCTAAATAAACTTAGTACCATTTAGTACACATAATCATGCATTTTCAAAACTACCTCCATCCTACACTCCACCCTTAATTTTGATTCCAAATTTTAGGGTTCCCGCTCACACAAAACGAATTGTACCCTATTTAGTACCATTAATGCTTCTCGTATCCAAGAGTACGAAATTAAAATGGACTGATAATTTTATTTATTTTTGGTTTTCTATGCGCCCTAGACGACACAATTATAAGCCGATCTTCACACATTTTACATGGGATCATCATAATGTACGATCAATATTTAGCGGCTCAAATGACCCAATTTTTTTTGTTTGGCTTTCTCATCGCATTTTTTTTTGTTTGAGCCTCTCATATTAAACTTTAATACATTGCGAGAACATAATATATCCTCACTGAGTCGGATCCCAATTTCCGAAAGCCATATTTGAAAATAAACAAATCATTTGGCTTTCCGGGTATGTAGACTTGCTAACATAGCTCTGTTCTTGAGATTATATATTCAACGATAACCCCGTCACCAATTGCGT